CGACAACAACAACAGTAGTAGTAGTACTACCACTACTACCGCTGCTTCTGCTGCTACTGCTACTACTACTACTACTACTACTACTACTACTACTACTACTACTACTACTACTACTACTACTACTACTCCTACCGCTACTGCTACTGCTACTGCTACTACTACTACTACTACTACTACTACTACTACTACTACTCCTACCGCTACTACGACCACCACTACCTATACCTGCAGCAGTAACAGGAACAGTATGGACAACACTGGATCGAACTGCTACCGTGCTGCGGGCTGAAAGACCCGGACAACATTATGTTCAGCTGATGCTGATGATGCTCGTCCTGCGGTGCGTTCATCTGCCCAATGCTACCACCACCACCACCACCAGCACCACCACCACCACGACCACCACCACCACCACCACTCACAAGCTTTCTCAAGACGTTTTTCTTTGATGTAGGTGTCAGTCTCTTTCTGGCGTCATATAACTGCTAATTTTCGCACTCTGCTTTGGAGGCTTTCATCTTCGAGCCTTCTGAGCAGCTCTACATCTATCCGCCTAATGAAAGTGGGTGGATCCCTGGCATGATGACGGCCATGGCTTCTGATTTGTATGCGCGGCTGTCGGGTGTACATGTTGCTACTAAACCCTGACTCTACCTAATATTGCATTGCGCTTGGGTTTGAACAGAGCTTCAGCTCTCGAAGGATTCCTGACGCATCTTCAGAGATTGGCGTCCATCAAAGCTGTGTGCTCTCCACTGGTACTGTAAATTCTTGCTTTGTCGGCTTGTCGGTATTGGTTAGGTTCGCTCATTCGAACAGGTTCACAGCTAGAATCTAGAATAGCATCAGAGGCTGAGGACCAATGCCAAGATGAGAGGCGGATTTCCCACCTCCCGTCTTTGCGCAAGGCATGAACCTCAAAGGAGGTCCCACGAAGAATAGGTTGTCAGCATGGGTTTCCCCGGCTTCCCAGGCGATGTTTTGTGTTTTGTTGGGCCAGGCCAGATGCGAAGTTGAAGCCGATGAAGAGTCTTCGTTTTGCTCCGCTGCAAGTCCAGGAATGCTGCCGGTCACATCTGTCCGCTCCAGCTGCCTTTTCACATCCGCCTGGGGGTGGAGTGCACTGCAGGCGAGCGTTGCCATGGCAGGGCCAAGAGTGATCGTGGGCTCGGGGCTTCGATTCAGGGCCGGAAGAGTTTATTACGTTTTCCTGCACGATGAACCCAAATGTTGATGGTGATGGTCATAGTGATTGTGGCAAACACACGCAAACCTACCGTCATGTTATGAAATTATGAAATGGTTACAGTAAGCGGTTGAATTAAACTGTCTAAGTTTACAGTAAGCGGTTGAATTAAACTGTCTAAGTTCCGTCATATTTCTATGTTGTCTGCCGTTACTCTTGCCCGCATTACGTACATGTGTAATTGCAGCTGCAAACAGGGGTGAGCAGACATGTGTCAAACATATGCACGCGTAGTTACATGCACAAACATGTAGTTGCACGGGGGCCTGCTTCTCGGGGGAGCTACCCATAGGCCCCAGAGTAGTTCCTTTTTAAGGTTCATATTTAGAATCCTATAAGGTAATCCCCAAAAGGAATACTATGGGGCCTATGGGTAGGCTTCTAGTTCCAGAGCTCGGGACACCCATGATTTTTGCATCCTAGAAGCTGGTTTGTAGCGATAGCAACGTCGGGCACAGGTGCTATATCCAACCCTGCAGGCTTCAGGCTTTACATAGCTTCTAAAGAAAGGTTGGGCAGATGTGGGCAGGGGTGGGCATTTGCATGCATTACGGGGTCGGTCTATGGAGACATATCGGTCAAAGTTGAACCCTTGCAAAAGCATCTCTTTAAGCGAATTCAGACTCTTCCATCAGGCCTGGCCAAGCTGCGCAAGCTGCGCGCATCGCGTGGATGTTGCAGTCGACGGCAGCGCTAAGTAGGGTGGAACAACCTGGGCTGAGTCGACTGTACGACTCAGCCCAGAGCATCCCAGAGCCTGAAACTCCCTGAAGAGATTCATAGAAATCCTGAAGGTTCTTCAGGCTCTAAGCGGTTGACAGGCTCGGTCCTTAGAAGCGCTTTCTGTCTCCCCGACTTCTGCCTGGAGATGCGAGTTGGTGCGCGTTCTGAGACCCGGTGCATTTTCGAGAGCGGTTTGAGTCCAGTCTTTCCCCCTAAAGAGAAATAGGGAAGTAGGCTGAAGAAAGGCATGTGTGCAATGATGAGTGCCCAGCATGCCAACCCCGAGCCAAGCAGATGAAAGAATGTATAATTGCTTCGACTCCTGCCGTGTGCTAGACTGCCATGCCTGAGCATGCAGGCAATGAACGTATGTGTTTTGCTTCCGGTCTGGCCTGCATGTGCAGCTTATGCAGGCCAGGTTGCGTGCTTCTGGAAGCTGTGGCTGAGCAGATGTGGTTTTAGTAGCGATTTCGCTCGTGACTTGCCGAGATAAGCTCTTCTCGCTTGAGGTGGCAGCTTGTGAAGGTAGCGAGCTAATGAACTCTGAAAAGGTATGGAGCATGGAGCTCGTTAGTCTCTATAAACGACAGGAAGCACACGACTTGGTGGGCAACCCGTGGGCATGCACGTCTACTGTTCGCATCCTTGTTTGGGGGCAGGCTTTCCATGGCCTTCGCTATTCATGTTCCCACCATTTTAGGTTCTTAAGTTTCAATATACACATGTCATCAGCTCATGTTCGTAATCAGCATGCGCATTTTCACGGAGCCATGGGGCTGGGGTCATGTGATAGCGAGCGGCTACAGTCTTGTCTGTGTACTTGGGTTGATGAAGTATAGCCAGACACTCCATAACCTGCTCGACTTGAAACAACATCTGCTTTGGCTGCTGCATGCAACGGTGATCTGGTTGCCTGGAGACATCTGGAACCCTTGTACAGGCTGCTTGGCTAAATGTTTGCAAAGTGTAGGCCGTTTAATTGTCGAACTTGCGATATCCTAAACATGTGGGCCCCTTGAGACTATTGCACAGCAAGAATCTAAGATGTGGTGAGGTGGGGGGGACTCCGAAAGGCCTTCCTTCCTCGCACACGATCTTTAGCAGTTTTCGCAGAAAGAGGGTTTCGGTCAAGTTGACTGTCGGCACAGGCGCGCTGACTAGCCCATTCCAAGACTTAAATTATCCAAGTTCATTTTTATAAGCGGTCGCAGTGATACGTTGATGCTCAATGGTCGCCGTTGCAACGGCTCGTAGGGCTTGGCTACAGTACAACGTCCGATGTGATTAATTAGTTGCAAGCCCGAGATTTTTATGTTCCTGGCATCGCTTTTTCTGCTTCTGATTCAAGGGCTCAAACTGTGTAGCGTCCCACACTTGATTCGCCGCACAGAGACGACTGCCTTCAGATCCTTCTACCTCGCCAATTTCCACGGTGGATTTATGCGATTTATGCAGTTTGTGTTGAGGTTCAAGTCTGGCGAAAGTGGTCCTCCACCGGAGTAACTTAGATCCATCAACCCGCCACATCGATCGAAAGCTGAAAGACACCCCACATGATTGCTTCTGAGGTCTTGGTGCTGCCGGGGCTAGCGAGCAAAAACAATGGGTAGCTGGTTGCGGCGTGGAAAGCGGGTTCGGTTTCTTATTTCTGACCTCCTTATCCTGCAGGAGCACCACACCCCTCTCATAGAGAAAGCGTGTGTTCGTGCAGTTTGTTATAGGGCTCTGTCTGGGTGGGCTCGATACGCAGGACGTCCTTACCCGGTCCTTACCCCTGTGGGGACTGGAATTTTAATCGAAGGTCGCAAAGCAAGACAAGGATAGGACAGGAACTGCCAAAACCACTGGACAGACCACAATGCAGCAGAGATGTTCACTGCAACGAGCAAGACATGCTCCTCGCTTTCCCCCTTTGACATAGTTAGTGTTCAGAATTTGTTGCACTCACCGCTAACAAATCTAGCGCAATCATCACTACAGCCGTCATCACGGCACACGACGAATCAAGCCATCCGCCGCGGCAGCGCTGCCTGCGAAGCGAGATCACTTCGATGCACCTCATCATGCACTGAAGGCATCAACCGGGCTTTGAAGAAGTCCTGAGCCCTGAGCCGCAAAGCCGCCTTGAAGCATGGTTTCCTGTCTTGCAGCTTCGAGTTCGTGGTGCAGGCCACTGTTAGGCAAGGAGGGTGGCAGTGCTGCTTCAGGCTATTAGGCTGGTTGCAACATGGATGCTCTTGGTTTGCGCGCATTGGGACATATCATGTGGTCATCTGAGTCACAGAGCCATTGCCACACAATGTTCCTGCTTGCCGAGGACTCTAACCAAACCCATGATCGAGGAGGACACATCACAACTGACACTCAAGATGCGTGTGGTTTCGCTGCAGGCAGGCTGGAGGTCAGATTTTCCGGCGAGAAACTGTTTGTGATGCTGCTATAGGGCTGCCAAATGCCGCCCCTTGCAATTACAAACGCCTGTTCTCCAGCGAATGATTCTGCCACGGCTGTACACCTCGCCACTGCAAACTTTGGAGAAGACGTCGTCGCAGTCGATCGAAGATGATCGAAGCGGCTGGGCCTGTTCGCAGATCGTTTCGATGCTTTGTCACTGTTGGATACAGCCCACCCCTTCAGGACGTCGATGTCATTGATAACTGCGCACGGCGCCTGACCGTGCCCGTTGAGGCGATCTGGATGGCGGCCGGGCTTCGTTTGAGCCTGCCCAAACACCACAGTTTTGAGATGGTTGGACTCCTTGCTTGAAGATGTAGCAAGTCGTAAGTAAAGAATCCCACCAGCTCCGTACTTTCCCATGGGCTGATTGAGACTAATGCGTTTTCCCAGGTGTGCCTTACCGTCTTTATCGACTCCTTGGGTGGGTCCATCTCGGCGCCGGTGATGCCGCATCTTTCAGCGCAATTGGTCATGGGGCCGGGTTGCCAGTAAGTAATGTTGAGCCTTGAACGAGCGAGTCGACAGTTGTGCGGGGATAATGGAGAGCGCTGACTGGCATTCTTTTTGCCCCATGCGACTCTTCCTGGGTTTCCATTCCGGCGGTGTGGATCAGGTTCTATGCCAAGGAGTTCGACGCAAGCAGCACGCAAGTAGGCTCGATGGGGCCTGGATGTATCTTTACACTTGTAGTGCTAAGTACTTGTCAACATCCCCCCGCATCAGCATCTACCGAGTCGCAAAAGGTTCCAGCGACTTAAATGCTGCGGGGTATGGTGACGATGACGAAAACGATGATTTGTGATGATAAGATTAAAGATAACGATGGTGCTAGCAGCTGCTAGCAATGATGGTAACGCTGATGAGCATGATGGTGGCGATGATGATAACGGAGGTGATCCAGCTTTCATTTGCAGTGACGAAGTGGCGATTTGCAACAGGTTGCTTTCAGAGACCTTTTTTCCCCAGACCTTTCTTCGCCCCACAAACCTCAACAAACCTGTCCCAACCTTCAAAGCCATCGGCCCCACCAGCATTCTCGTTTTCTCTCGCAATACTGGCTTCGCTGTCCAGCTTCACAGATTAAGTTCAGGGTGTGTTTTTGGGGCTGGTGACCTAAATTAAGGGTTTTGGTGAGTGCAGTAATAGGCTCCTTCGGAATGTCGGTGGGTGCCTTTTTCGCACGTCATGTCTTTGTCGGGATACTAGCTTGTCAAAAGTTTCCTTAACGTAAAAACAAAAACGCAGTTGGTAACAACATAAGCAGTCATTAGCATCATCTGCCATCTCGAAGTGCCGACCATCAGTCGCAAACTCCTAGACGGATGGGCCTCTTCAGCGCAGCAATTGGGTGAGACAAGTCCACGATCTGGTTTACTGCGTCCAGATGCAACAAGGGCTCGCTCGGATGAGAATTTGATGTTCAGGATGTTTTGGCGGCTTGTAGGCTTGGTTCATAGGTTCTACCAGGACTTACATATGTTTACATTGCACCAAGGGATTCTCGGCATTGGGGAAACGTCCGTATGGGAGGCCGCGTGTCGATTACGGTCGGCACCTCGACGGAAGTCCTAATCCTTCTTCGTGTTTCCGACGAGCAGCTCCTGTTTTTCGAAGCCTTTGTGTTTTGTGGTTTGGGGCAAATGCGCCTTCCGAAAATGGAATATGGGACGAACAATTGAAGCCGCCCGCCTGCAGGCTGGCTCTTCAGCACCTACTCGCTGGCACAGGTCGCATAAGCGGGTGAGGTTAAAAAGCTAAGAGCTGCCACCTGGGAAGAGGGACGGTGCTGGGCTGGGGGCCGTGATCTGGTACACTCCAGCCAGAAGACCGGCCCCTCATGACAAGGACTCCTCAAAGCCCCGACTGGTACAAGGTCAAATGTCTACACACCGAAAACTTTAAAGTTTGCTATACCTGTGGCCTTGTGCACTTTGTGCCCACGGAGCCTGTAATTAGCTCTCCCATGCTGCTGGCCGGTGTACTATGTACCTCGTCCGAGTGTGAGAGCCGAAAAGCCCAGAGTAGGTGGAAGTGTGCATGTTCCGATGCATCGGAGGTCATTGCCCTGCCTCTTCTCGGCCGCCTCTCAGACACCACTGGCCGGCGACCCGTGTGCCTCGATGGGGTCTAAAGTGGAGATGCCGCCGCTTTTGTGGACGCCCCTTCGATACGGTCTATACCCAGTTCAACGAGTTTGCACAAGCACTTTTGCCACCGGTATCCAAAAGGTCGTGCCAACGCCCTGCAGGCTATTCGCAGGTAAATGAAGCAGATATTGTAGGGTTCGGATATTTGCCCGAATCGAAAGTGACTTGAAGCAGCACAGCTCGAACTGCTTGGATTCGGGTTCAGCAAGTAGTCCCAGAAGCTGCCTAAAGGCACACCCCTCTGAGGCTTGTAATGTCACTCTTTGGCGCGGCGACCGGCGCTTTTGTGCAAGGCCATGAATCAACGGGTCACTGTCTGTGCATTTGGGAGTGTAATTTCGTCTAGCACCGAGAAGCCTGGCCACCCCAA